GCTTTGTTCCAGTTTTGTTTCCACTTACACTCTGCTATTTTTTCTCACTTACCACTTCTAAACAAAGGAAACAGATTTTGTTGGTCAGTGTCAGAACAAATAGATGTAAAGCACAAACAATAAAAAGAATAAAAGATATTGGAAGTTGTTATCAGCCTAGGAGAAGATTCTCCTTAACAAAATAATTTCCTAAATTTCCGTGAGATGAACAATCATCCTAACTTATGCCATGCATGACTTGGTGGTTGCTTTTATTGATTACTCAGATAACCATAAAGAATAATATTTTGCATAAACTGATTTTGCAGATGTGGATCATTTTCAAATTGCCTAAAAAATATCTTTGTTTCTTTGTTAGTAGACTTCTTTGGAAGAGGAACCAGCTCCTTTTCTGCTCTGGCTGGAACTGGGAGAATGCACCTGCTTGTGTGACTCAGAAGACAAGAAGGTAACTAACTCAGCTGTGCATGGGACCATCAGGTTCAATGTGTTTCACTGCTCAAGAAAGAGGTTGGCTGGTACTTCCCAGCACCTCCCAAGGGAATCTACCCACCAAAATGTGCTTATTGCTAAAACAACAGCGCTACAAGGTGTCAGCTGCCCTGTGAGGGCTGGGGCTGAGCAGGCATCTCCCACAGCCACAAAGGCCACAGAAGAAAGGTAGCAGCAACTGTCTCCAGTTTGCAGGCACGTTTTTTCATCCCTGTAGGGTTTGTGCCATTGTTGGATATGGTGGTTGATATGTGTTTTTTTCTGACACTAACTAACAAAATCCGTCATCCTTGTTTAGGAATGGCAAGTGACAAAATATGCAGAGTGGAGATGGGTACAAAGCTGTAACGAAGCAGGCTGAAAAAATTCAGTTTACAGGGCTGAATTAGTTTTTAATTCACTTGGAATAGCTTTGCCAGTCACGTATGTAACCTGCAGAGCTTTGTGAGTACAGCAGCACCCGTCACTATCAGCAGGAAGATGTACACAGAGTTATACAGTGAGGGATACACCCATCACCTCCACTGCCTTAAAAGAAATTACAATTAAGGCTGAAGTGAGGGGTTGTTTCTTTTTTTGTGTTGTTTGTGTGGTTGGGTTTTTTTTGGTTGTTTTTGTTTGTTTGTTTGTTTTTTGTTTTGTGAGGGGATTTGTTTATTTGGTTTTGTTTGTTTGTTTTTTTCTCAGAATTAATGTACAAACCCTTGGAAGAAGGACAGCGGTGCATTGGCCGCTGGAGGGAGATGTTCCCCCAGGCGCCCCGGGCCGGGGCGGGCACGGCTGCGAGCGCCAGGCGAGCTGCGAGCTCCGTGTCTGGGTCAGGCACCGGGATTAAAAGTCTCTCATTTGGGAGAAGAGGTCTCGGGGGTTGCTCCGAAGCAGGAATACTTCAAAATGTGTCTTGCACCACAGCAGAGTGAGCTGTTTAAAACGATGGGAAATGTCCCCAGACGTCTTTTTGTAATGAATTGCTCGTGAAAGCTTTTAACGCTTTCAGTCACGCGTGGAGATTAATGAGGCAACAGCTTTGGGGGACGGAGAGTTTTGAAAGATAGTGTGGAAAAGTGCCACTCTATTACCATTACATTTCCTGGTGTTAAAAGCTGCAATCCTTGAGGATATCTGTAAGGCAGCAATGGTAAGATGAATACTCTCATTACACCGAGATAATGAAGTGGTGCTGAACCCTTTAAGATTGCCAGGAAAAGACGTATTAGCAGTACAATAAGCAAAGGTCTCTTGTAAAGACACCTTTTATTTCTCTTCATAGATTTAAACGGTGATAGAAAGTATTCATTAAGCACCATGTGTTTGTTTGGACTGGATTTCAAGGGGCCCAGAATTATATTAAGCTACATCACTCTCCAAACAGCTCCACTGAGCTACTTATGAAGTTACTGTTTAGTGGAAGTAAACTTACTCTTCTTGCACTCTGCTTAGAAATTAAAGAACTGAACGTGTCCTGAGATTTGGTCTTCCAGATGGGAAAACAGCACCAAGCAGTCAAATATTGGAACAAGTAGCCTTGGGAAACCAGATACAATACAAATACACAGTATTTTCATGTTCATTCCCATAACCCAAGTGTTATGGAAAACCAATTTTGTGATATGCAGTGCAGTCCAAGTTTGTAACATGGCACTCTAAATATCCTACAGAAAGGATAGTTTCACCCTATAATCAAGTAATATCCCTTTCTGTGGACCCAAGCACAAAGTAGTCAGTTTGAGAATCACAAAAAGTGAGAGCAGGGCACTTCTGCTGCACATATATGTCTGATAGAGAAATCCCTTTTCCAGCCTGTTATGACTGGATAGCCATAGGAAACATGATGTACTCTGCATTTATGTGATGAGCAATGCCTGAAATTTTTGCTGTAGAGTTCAATAAATGCAGTTTATTGTTTCAGAAGGCAGAAGTGATTCCTGAAGTTCCTGTCATCTCTTTGAAAAGATCAATTAGAATAAAATACTGAGCAGACTAATAAAGGACTTCTCAAGATGTCCCACTACATGATCAATTTCTTATGGTTTTGAGTTAAAACTGTAGATCAGTGCATGAAACATGGCCTATGATAAAAGAGGAGTTCCCAGATATCAGTGAACTTGGTCTATGAACGAAGCTGAGATCTTTCTGTTTAATTTCTCTGTTCAAGTGTGGACAAGAAAACAAAATCCTGTTTATTTCAGACCTGTCGTTAGTGTTCCCACAGGTTTTGCCATGTTTCACAATGGATGGAAACTTAGAACAAAAGCACAAGGGCAGGTTAAACTACTTCTGAATTTAAACCTTCCTCTATGCAGTCTCTTGTAGCATAAAGAAAATCTGTACTGAGGCAATCTTCCACTTTTTTCTTTCACGATCACATGAACTGGTAGAGAATGTCCTAAACTTTGTTCCTAACTCCCGGTTTGACAAGGTGTCCAGAGTCAGAATAACCCTGGCCTCATACTTCTTCCTGGAGTCTCCTGCTGAGTGTAAAATATGGCTGTCTTGTGGTTTGAATAAGGCTTTTAATGTGCCATGGGATGTCACGGTCCACAGAAATGGAATACAGTGTTCTGCTTGCAGAGAAACAGAAAAAAGCTAACCAAACTGGTTTCTTCCTCCTGAGTACATAGTGACTGACTGAAAATCCAGTCACTGAGACTAAAACTATCAGCCTTGATCACAAAAAAAAAGAAGTACTTGACAGACGGATTTAGCCTTCCCTCAGCACGAACATCTATTTGCCACTAAAAGTTTGGTGAGTACACTGTGGTCTCATCTCCCAGTGCATCACTAACAGACTGTGGGGTAAGGCAGATGTTATTTCTTTGAATTAATCCCTCCAAGAGGGAATGGTCAGAGCTCTCGTGGAAATCATGCTGCTTTATAGGTTGTATGTGGCTGGGGGAAAAAGAAAAGTTTCTTGTAGAAAAACAACTCTTAAAAGCAGGGCTTGGTCCCTCCCCATTGCAATGCTTAAAGGAGCTGAAGTGGTGATTCCCTGGTCCTCACTCCTCTGCCTACAGGCACAAACTGCTCTGACCAGGCTGGGCAGTGATTTCTGTGCAAAAGCCAATGAATATAGAAGCACTTCAGGAACAGCAAACAAGGAGTGCAGCACCAAACATCTCCAGTGTTGCTGAGTATTCTTACAGGTTTCTCGCTGCCTTTTTCTCCTTTCTTCTTGGTGTACAAGAGCAAGCCAAGGTGTGAGATGCTATGTTCTTTCTATCCAGCCCTTAGGAGGACTCACCTGTGGAAATGGCCACTAGCTGATGATGAGATTTCAGAAGCAAAATAAATCAACATTGTTTTGGGTCAAATTTTGCCCCAGTGGACTGGAAGCCTCAGAAAGTGCATGGTGAAGGCCATGGCCCCAGGCATTGTGCCTAAGTGCTGGAACATGTAGAGAAGTTGGTGAGACAGCTTATAGGTGCCTTCTGGAAATCTTTGCTCTCTCTCACTCCTCTCCCAAGGAGGACCCTTGCGTGGTCCTGATTCTTATGATAATATTACTTTTCATCACTTTTCTACTTTCAAGCCAACACTGAGCTGTATTTTCTTCTAAGCTTTACAGCCCACTTTTTTTACCATATTGGACTCAACCAAGGCTTGTCTCCATTTTAAGAGATGCATTTTCCACAGGAAATTAATGTATTGTTTCCCCAAAGCTATTTCAGTCAGTAAACTTCACTGCAGTCTGCCCAGTTGCACGATATTTTGGCCAGCCAAATGAATCTAGTGCCCCCAACAGTCCTGTTAGTAGTGTTAGCCAAGGGAATTGGGTCAGGGTCAGATTTACTACTTGGATCCTCCAAATCTTGCAGTGCCCCACAAAAGATCTAGTGGTAGAATATACCTGTGGTTTTTTTCGCAAGGAAACCTGTGTATGGAGAGAGTATGATGTTTTCCTAATTGTTTTGTTAGTTCTCTGACCACATGTGTGCCATGGTACCTATACATACCAGTATATATGGTATATGTGGTAGGTACCAGGACATATGGTATATACCAGGATATATGGTATATATGGACTGTATGTGTATCATGGCACCTATAGACACCAGGATGTATGGTATTTATGGATGGTATTTATGGATTGTATGTCTATATAGATACCAGCATACTCTGTCTTTGACTGTGGATTTGTATATTTTTTTAAGCTTTTTCAGTCAATATTCTTGGGATTTTTAAATTAGCATGTAATAATTTGATTTCTTTCTTTTCTCAGGAGGTATCAATTAAATGGCAGTGGGGGTGCAGCTTTGCTTTTAAAAAGTGGCAAACCTTTGCAAACAACCATGATCCCTTCTCCGAGCCATTCTCTGTCGAGATGACAAGTCGCTGGCGGCTGTCAGGTCTGAGTAGGAAATCTCCACAGCGGCGCTGAGAATGTTTATTGTAGGGAGAGAACTTTTGCCCTGTGAAGTCACCTCCTACTAGTCACCAGTAGGTTTCTGATATTCTATCACAGGAAATTCCTGGTGGACCACAAAAGCAATCCCCTGAGTCCAGCTGCTGGCGGGGAGCAGTGGTGCACCACACCGCCAGGCTGAGCCTCAGCCTTCAGTGTGGGGCAGAGCACCTGTGCCCTGCAAAATGCAAACTCTGTGCTCCTCAAACAATGTTAAAATGAACTATACAGGGAGGCAAAGGTCAAGTGAACCATTATTGTGCTGCATTTTATGCAAACAAAAAAAATGTATTAGAGGATGTGCTTTGTATTGTAACAAGGTACTGTAAGATTATATTTAGGCTTCATGTCTTTGAAGCCCTTGGTAACACAACTGTATAATCACAGCTCTTGATGTTAATGAGGAAGTTATATTATAAGGTATTCTGTTTAACTGGGAACAGTGTAGGAAGAATTAATAACCTTTAGGAAAGCATATAAAACCAGCCCTCAAGACCTGCAATGCTAGCTATCACAGGTGAATATATACACAGTTTTGCAAAGGAGAAAAAAGAGAAATAGCGATTGACAATCACTTTTCTCACCTTTGAATGCAAAGGCATTGTTTTTCATGTGCCAGTCCTTTTACTTGCGCAGCTTGGAGGGCACAGGTCTCATTAACACTCCATTTTCCTCTGCTCTTTTGCTGAGGTTTCAAGCATTCAATCGCAGGGGCAAGCAGGACGCAATGAACCTTTATCTGCGTGAGACAGTGCACAACAGGGAAGCAGCCCTGGGAGGGATGAGCAACATGTATGTGGCTGGGTGCTGTAGGGCCATGGGTCCTTTAACTAGAAGGCATCAAAGTCCTCATTTCTATTAAAATTAGGCATGCTGTGAAAACAAAATACTGACAAAAAAAAAGATGACACACTTCCAGAGCGCTGCTATTAGCCTCTTACCAATGCCTGATTTCATTTGTCTGTAACTTCAGGATGTGTAAGCCTTCTGAAAAGAGGTGTCTCTGGGGCTTGAAGGATTTTGATGCCACACTTCTTGTTTGCTTCACTTGTGAAGTGCTCCCCTGATCATTGACTTTTGCATCACCACACCATCACTGAACAACCTCATCAGGGCAATCTGTACCAGTGTGTGCAGGGGTGAGCAGCAAGGAGCCAGCACTCTAGACATCAGCTTCTTTAAACAGACCAGTGCAGTGGAACAAAACTATGCTTCAAAAAGTTGTGTGGTTTGGCATTTAGGCTGTGATATATTTTTTTGAGTTAGTGAGTATGGCTGTGTCCTCCATTTTCTGCAAAGAACATTTTTGGGAGGGGAAAACTATTTGTGGCAGTGATTGTGAGCACTGTGGTAATCTGCAGCAGCTGCACCAGGGCCTTGTAATCCCAGAGCATCTGGCTTCTAGACCTAGGAGGAAGGCATTATAAAGATGTTCTCCAAAGATGCCCGTATGACTTAGAAACATGTGCACCGTTTTTAAAAAGCAACTTACTGAAAAGTGATGGACTGAGTAGGGCCTGTAGAGAAGTCAGATGGCATTTTCGAAAACTGTACCCCTTATTTTAAAAGAAAGGAAAACGTGAGGCAATTGCAGCTGATTCAGCATCCGGCAGCCTCAGCCAAGTCATATTTTACCTCTTCCCTTCCCTCCCCACACAAAACTTCCAGGAAAACCTGCAAAGAAAAGGCATATGTGGGTAGGAGGAGACCTGCTTTTAATTTCTGTACCTCCTATTCAACACAATGCCACACAATGCACAGGATGCGAATATCCCAAGGCACCTTATACAATGCAAGTAACAAAAGCACACACACATGCACCAGAAAAGGGGGAGCAGCAAGCCTGACATGGTTGTAAACCAAAATGCAGGTAAAGGTATCTGTAAAATACTTATGTAAAGCAGACTTGTGAAAAAAAGTCATCTTTAGAAAGGAGAAGGGGTGGGAGGCTGAAGAAATGTTCAGATGATCCCAAGAATTGATTTCCATTTCAGAGCAGGATTTATCTGGTTTTCCCTATCATGTTGAAAGTAGTAGTCAGATATTCATTATCAACAGTGCAGTGCCTCCTCAGTGAAACACCCATTGATGCATCTGTGATACCATTTATAGAGCAAGCTGGAACCAGCACTGAGTCATATAATGGTTGTAATGATAGCAAACAGCAAGTGTTGTGATTGAAAACATATCATGGCTGTTCCTTGTTTCCCCTTCTTTTGACTGTGGAGAGAAGAGTGTGTGTAGGAGCTGCTCACTCCCACAGACCCACCACCATCTGGTTAAAAGAGATCATTCAAGGGACAGAGCCAAAACCAGTACTCTGATGAAGTGGTTCAAGGTGTTTGGAGAAACACTCAGAATTAAGGCTATTGTCAGCCCTAAATGAGTACATCAGAGCCTGACCAAAGAAACCTAAGTTTTCTTAGAGACTCTTGCTCATGCATTCCTCCACATTTCCATTAGAAAGACAGTGTTGTGGATGAAGCACTTGGAACCTTGCCTGATCTGTTTCCGCTTGCAGCTCACGCACAAGTTGGTGGTGAAGTAGCTCACAAAATATACAAACCTGCAATAAAAAAAAAAAATCTACCACATACAAAAAACTCCTATGTAGCCTGAAGATGTTTGCAGTAAGAATGTATACTGTATTTTTGAACAGGAATAAAAGCAAAACACTTCAAATAAAAAGTGATAGACAAGATCTTTACATACTTTCTTTATTAAATGCACCATTTTTAATGTAAAGTTGTTTGTACACAGATAGGAAACACTAGATGATTTTTAGTCACAACAATGTTAACTAGAGCCTCAAAGTCAAATGTGAACATACAGAGGGGGCAAGGAGAAACTGCAACAAGTTTAAGTGGCATGTAGCCATGAATTACTTCTCCCATGAGGTCACTAGAGTAACTTACTATGCATTGCTTTGGTGTTTAAGAAAAAATTAAGCTGACAGTTTTTTATTATATTTGCATATTGATGGGCAGTTGCTAGCAGTATAGCAAAATGGTAGTGGGCAAATAATATTGTTTGCAACATCTTAGCTGCCCAATTCTGAATAATAAAAAAAAAAAAAGAGCAACACAAAAATTCTCCCGTAATAGAGGTTTTCTTACCACATCAAATCCATGCTTCACATAATGTTACTGGTGAATTCAGTAGGAAGGAGGAGGAAAAACAGCATTACACAGTGAGACAAGGCAGAGATTTTGTGTAATGACTCTTGAAATCGTGACTGGAAGAACTAGATAGCCTAGAGCAATCCACAGTCATGGCATGGCACCTATATCTTCTGAGGGATGTAAAGCTGCAGCTGCTGTGCTTTTCAAAGCCACATAGATGTTTTCTGTAAACCAACTTACTGTATAGCCTTGTATACCACTACCCCTTACACTGCACTCTGGCCTTTGATTTTGTTTTCCTAAAGAAGAGAAAAAACAAAACAAAGGAATAAAGACCAGGTTATCTTAGTTGTGTGTTGCAGTAATTTTTACAGTAAAAACATATTTAGGATTTCTGAAATGTATGCAACAAAATTATTTTGTACTAGATAAGTAAATGTTACTTAAAAAATTAGTTTATCTTTTGTGTATGTTTGTGTATTGTATCCAAAGTTTTGTATTTTGATGAGAGATGGGATAAATAAAGAACCCTTCCTTCAGCAGGGTCCAGCCCAACTCCCCAGTGAGCTCCTCACCAACCACTTGTGGCCCCTTCCCACACAGCTGTGCGGAACCTGGCTTTGTCTGGCATCTCGTAATCCTGACCAGCTCAGGAAAAGGAGTCACTTGTTGCCTGGACGTTGGATTGAGCGGTGAAAGTGACCACAAATGAATCAGTAGATTAGTTCCAGTAAGTGATTTCATTTTTCTTGTGTTTAAAAAAATTTACTTGGCTAAAAGCCAGTGATTTGCCTAGAAAGACGCTGAACACAAATGATGTCTGCCCTGTGAAAATTAACCTGTATCATGTACCAATACCCTTTTACATGTTCTAGTATTGATAAGTGTGCACTTATAAATCTATATTTTTATAGTAAAATAGCTCCCAAAGCTTACTCCATGGATACTCTGTATATAGTTTCTTGCAGAAGATAAAGCTCTTTTCTGTGCATAAAAGCTGTTGATATATTTCCAGTCATCCAGAATCCAAATTCCCGTGTGGATGAGTGATTAGATGCAGAGTAAATTTTTGGAGGGCCTCGGCTCTCCTGCTGCACTGGATAAATTGAGTGAAAAATTATGTTTGATTACCACTAAACTTTTTAAAATTATTCCTGTTCTACTCTGTTGAAACCAAGACCTCGTGGGGGGACTGAAGTTGTTGAATTTTGTGTGTGTAAAATCAGAAAGATTGAATCACTATGGAGTAACCCTGAGGCATGAGCCCATGAATTTAAGGACTATTTCAAGAGTATGTCCTTATCAACAGGTCTGGCTGCTCCAGAGAGGGGCAACCCTGTAGAGCAGCCAGAACGTCTCACTCATGGGCTACAATACCACTAAAGAAAAGAAAAACTTACTTTGTTAAGCAATTAATTCTGTTGTTTTCCTTAGGTCTATTTTTGAATTGCAAGATAAACTTGCTCTGCACAGAGAACAAGCTGTGTTGTACCTGCTATCCTGTCATTCCAAATTTCCTCCATCAGACTGAAGGGCCAAGAAAAAAGAGCAAGTTATAAAAAGTTGAGTAAAACATATAAAACCCTCATAATGAAAAGATGACATTTTAATTAATCTTGGGATGGGAAAGGTTGTTCTGTTGGGGCATTCTGCATAGAAAGGAGCAAGCTTTGTGTGAGCAAAGGTAAAAGGAGAGGCTTGAGAAGCTTGCTGAGGTCTTTAGAGTGTAATAAAGGTGAGTACTTCACACCACAAACCATGTCTGACACCGAAGTGTTTCTCTTGTGCATGCAGAGCTCTGATGCTGTCCTTGATAAGGTACAGTCTCATAACCCAGATGGACATTAGTCACTGATATTGACAACCTCAACATGGCAAGGCAGTGGGAAATTAGTCAAACCCCCAAACCCTAATTTTGCAGTTAAGGTTTCTCTTTCATTTTGGTTTGCTTCAGAACCACAAACACAAATATCTCAGTTTTTGTGGGTTGTTAAAACACAGAACCTGAAGAAAAGATCAGAACCATCTCCTTCCCCTACTTTTCTTGTCTTCACTGGATTCCACCAGAGTCTCACCTAACAGAGATGACAGTGATAACAGAGAAATTTGCTTTCAACCATGTCTACAGAACAGAAACACGACTTTGGCAGTTTATGACCCATATTCAGTTTTGACTCATGCTTCAATTTCCAACTGATAAAAAACAAACCCCCAAAACAACTACAAACCCATCTATTTCTATCCTACCGCTGCAGCACAAACAGTTCACACAAGATGACATTCTAAAGATGCTGGTAAAGAGTTATGGCTTTATGGTAAAGCACCTGACTTATGCTTAGGAACAATAGACAACACCACAGACTTTAGTGCTTATGCTGCTTGCTACTAGGAGAAATGAGCAGTTGACCATATTGCTGACTCCTGCATGTTCCAGGAGTAAATTTTTTTTTAATAACTATGCTGTGAATTTGAATCCCCTTCTCCATTCTTAAATAATTAACTTTGAAAAGGTGGGATAGGAGCACCGAAGAATGTCACTAAACTGTAGATGGTGAGCACAGGATACTCTATTTTCAGTACAGGTTTTGGCCAGGAAACTTCATATCTAATGGACATAGTCATATTTACATAATTAGAAAAAAAATTACTGTGTCTATCTACGAACGTTTGAGCAAGAATTGTATGTTATTGTCTCAGTGCAGCAGGAATGTCAGCTATGAGGAGAGGAATTCTTTACATCCCACCCATGGGAGCAAGAGGGAATCTCTGGCACATCCCTGTGCACAGTCCAATGGCGAGACAGCTTCCAGCTGCTGGACACGGCACAACTTAAAAGTGAACAACAAGGTAGGGGGGAGCATGGGTGTGTTTTGCTTTGACTGTGCTGAAGTGCACAAAGGACACATTTTCCTCCTGATTTTTTTCCACTCTCTGCTTGTGTTTCTTTTGTTTATTTGTTTTTTAACATCAGGAATTTGGGGTTTACTTGTCCCTGGAAGGCCCTGTGACTAAGCTGAACTAATAATAATACTGGAGTGCAAGCTGAGAAATCAGATGGAAAGGATTTAGTGGTAGATATGGTAGCATTAGATTAATTCTTGCACTCGATCTTCAGGGCCTTTTCCAACCTAAGTGATTGTATGATTTCTGCAATTATGGCAGTGTCAACATTCATCACAAGGCACAGCACATAATCCAACCATCTCTGACATTGCTAACATCACACTGACAATTGGAATACCAAATTTCTAGCCCATATAACTGTAGGATGCTGGGGTGGCCAGTTCTGGATATTGACAGCATTAGTTACCCTACGCTGGATCTATAAGGCATTTTTTATTCATACATCCTGATGCTAGACAAGGCAGTTGAGCTTTTTGTGTAGCTTTATAGGGATCTACTTTCACCTTCAAAATTCGCATACTCAGGTGTATTTGATTTTTCGCTCTCTGCTGCTTGCCCTGCACTAGAAATGCTGGATTACATTTTGGGCAGCTACAGAGACCACTACTTGCAGAGTAGTTCTTCTGCATTGAGTCTGCCACCATAACGCTTGAACTTTCTGTGAGGCACATCACCGCTTTGTGAGGTTTAGACACAATCTCTCATTTCCTCTGTATTTATCCAGCCCCAGAAAAAAGATGGTCCCAAGCATGATTTCCTGCTACAGGTCCTCACTAGAGAGATAGAAGCAGGGAGTGTTGGCACGTGTAGTGCCCCCGCTAACACCTGCTGTTCTGAACACAGGGCTGCGCGAATGGGCCCATCCCAAGGGCCGTGGGGGAAGTTGTCTGAAAGGAGCAGTGCATTCATACCCCATAACAGCTACCCCTCAGCCAAGAAGGGCCACAACTGGAGTGTGCAGCATGCATCCAGACACATGTTCTTCCTGTTGGCTCTTTGTGGAGATGCCAGTGGGCATGTCTGTTCCCTGGGACCCAGGCTTCCCATGAGAAGGAAGTGTGAATATGTGTGGTCTGATGAGCAGCAACCACCATCTCCAGGATGCCAGGGGGAAGAAAGCCTAGACAGGTGCCACTGGAGAGGAAACTCTTCCAGCATTTTCCTTCTTGCAGCTGTGGGCTGGTGAGGGCCATCTGGTGAGTGGTCATGGGCTTCTCCTGTAGGTCAGTCCGTTGCTTCTGCTGAGAGAGTTTTAGAAGGTTAGCTGGATAAAATGTGTGTGCCAGGGCAGCAGGAGCAAGCAATCCTGTTGTAAGTGCTGCAAACCATCATGCAAAGAACAGATGCCTTGGATAGACCCTGAGGCAGCTGGTACTGGTGTGTCACAGCCTGGGGTAAGCATCAGAGTCTGTAGCACTGAGCAGGGCAGCAGAGTGTTGAGATAGGGACATGGATTTGAATGATATGTGGCTTTTGGAGCCAGGCTCAGTGTCTGTGCAAGTGGGGATGTCTTCTTTCTATTCCTTCTTCACTGTTGTTTCATCCCTTGAATTAAGGTGCCCCTTCCCATGGCACTAGATGATCTTTGAGGTCACTTCCAATCCAAATCATTCTATGAGTCTCTGATTTCAAAATCATTTTATTTACCTTCTGTTTGAGCTTTCTATGAGATTTTTCCAGAGTTTTAGCCATGACATTTTTCAGAAAGATCCCTGCTCTTTCTGAAGCTACTTGTTATTTTTATCTATCTGGTAGTCTCATCTACCTGGAATGAGCTGCTTTGAGCTCTTGATTGCTCCATGCATTTTCCTTATCCTGATTTTTCTTTTGCTAATTTAATGTCTCACGTAATGTGAAGTTCTGAATACCAAAGATATCTCATTAATAGATTTTTTTTCTTTCCTGTACCTTTTTTTGACCTTAGAGCTGGTAACTGTGGGTCACTACCTCTAATGAATGAATTGGCAGTCCAGAGTACTGGTTGCCAGATTCAGCTAAAAAAGTTAGGGCTAGTGATAAGGAAAAAGACACACTTCCTGATGTCATCTTGTCTTTCAGTGCTCAAACTTATCATTAGGTGAATCAAACCCATTATTTCTTCCAGATACAGCATCATGCAGTCAAATATGTATATTACGAGAGTACTAATTTAATAAAAAATATTTATTAGCAACATCCAGAAAGAAGTTATTCAGTGGATGGGTATCTGTTCTGCATGGTGGGGAAAGTACCATGTCACTGAACGAGAATGTCCTTAATCTATTGAAAACCAAAATGTATCACTCTGCCATATCCCCTTAAATTCAGTTTAGTGGTTTTTATCTTTATTTAGTTTGCAACCATATTACCTCATCCTGGGCTGGCAAGGTTGGGCCACCTGGGAACTTGAGGGGGCTCTGGGAAGCGTTGGTGATTCAACACAGTAGTTGGCACACTGCCCTCTGAGTGTCCATGGAGAAGTCCTTCACCACCGCACCCTGGGCACCCTCTGCTGAAGGAGGAGGCATCTGCTGAAGGATGAGATATAAAACCGATCCTTGGAAACTCCAGCATATTTTCTCCAGGTTGCTACACAGACAATGTTCTACCTAAAAAATATTTTTATGAATATTTCTCTTAAATTGCTGAAATACAGACCAGTACACTCCTCAATAGCTTCAGTAGCTTCAGTGGATTCCCTGTTCAAGGGATTCACAGATGTTTAAGAGTCCCATGGATGCATTTACTTGCAATGCATTTGAGAGTTTAGCACTATTCCAATAAGTATTGTTTAAGTTTTGAGAATACAGAGGGTAAAAAGCTTTTTTTTCCTCTATAACGAAAAGTGATCAAACTAGGTTTAACTAATATACTAATAAACCTCAGCCAAAATTTCTCCCATTTAATCAAGACAATATCCAAGAACTCCAGTTTTAAAATGTGACTCTTAATTTGGCTGCTGTAAACAGATGTCATTAATAGGTAAAGGAGCTTCTTTTTGTCTGTGTTCAGCAGTGAGCGTATGCTAAAAATGTGAATGGCCACAACATATCTCAAAGTGACTGGCACAGCTTACTCCCCAGTTAGTTTTTGCAAATACTGTCATTTTTGGGAAACGTTTTTTTGCTAGCAAAGACTTTGGTTTCTTGACACACTCTACCAAGGGGAGAATACTATCTCTGGTCCAGTGTCAGCCGCGTGGAGCAACCTTGTGTCCTCCATCCCCTATGGGGTGGCTGGTGTAGGGCACAGTGGTGGCAGGGAAGAAGCAGGCAAGGTATTGCAGGCAGCCTAGAGGAGAGGCAGCCTGTACAGACACCCAAATCTTTTCCTTCTCATAGAAGTACTGCTATCAGGACTTGGGGAGACCAGAAGGACAGAAGTCAGCTGGGGGAATGGCTGAAGTTGTTTGGCCTCCCTGGCTTGGCTCCCTCTCCATTGGTGACTCTATATACATGAGCCTGGAAAAGCTTTTGCACAGTGAGAGGCACAGAAACACAGAGGGGACAGTTACAGGTACAGAGGCAGCCTCTGAAGGAGGGAGCAGTACTCTTTGCATGAGCCAATGGAGAAAAGTAGGAAGGTCCCATCCCCTCCATAACATGCGCATTTTTCAGGATGTTTCTGAATTCCACACATCCAAGAAGTGATGTATTATAGCTCAAAAGCTAGAACTGAG